GAGGAAGAGAAATCATGGACGGTGGAACCAGTGACATGTAGCTATAAATGGCATGGCTTTGGCTGTGTGCAGAATTCTACTCTTCTGATTTGCTTTGTGCACAAAAAATGCTCCACCCTCTTCAAGGACTGAAGAGAAGGCAGAATGTATTTGTGTTGGAGTTCCATCAGCAGTGAGAGCCTTCAGTTTTTCCTGGTTTTTTTCTGTTCCAGATGAGACAAAAGGACCCAGTGAAAGGAATGACTGCGGATGACTAAAGGCACCCCTCCCCCTTCTGCACTGTATGTACTGAATCTGTCCCTTTGCATCTCCTTTGACGTAAAAATTTGTTTGGGTCCTCAGGCCCTTAGCAACTCACTATGGAGTCAGGAAACTCGCTTCCTTCCTCGTCCTATCCTCCATTAATAGTGATGACTGCCATACTAAACAGCTCTTAGGCTTCCATTGAAAGATGTTGTGACTATTAGAACATTTCAGGGACATGTGATTTTAGAATGAACTGCCCAGACACATAGACTCAGTGGTGAGAAGTGGGGCTGGGTTAGGGCAGTAGACGCAGAACTGAAGCTTAACTGCAACTAATTCTTCCTCTCGTAACCAGAGCCATTTCAGTTTGAAGTTGGCTATAGTTGACTCTCTATAGCCCTGTGCCAGAGCTAGTTCCTGGCTCCCAGCTGCCAGCATTCGCTGCCCTGCCCTTGGAAATTCTGCTGGCCAGACAGCTTTTCCTAGGGTTCATCATTGTGTCTCGTGCTTCATTGCCTTCCTCTTTAAAGCTCCTGATCCCGTACTAAGTAGGTGTCCTCATCAGAGGCAGCGTCTTTCAGACATTGTTCCTGTTTCATGCTGCCACTCTTTTACAAGCCCCATCCTTCTCTTAGCTCTCAGTACCCTGCCCACCTCTAGGCTTGCTGGTATTCTAGCAGCTCACAGTGGGCTGGGTCATGGAATTAAAAACTTGGCCCTATTTCCTATTAAGCTCTGAGAGAAAATTTTTTTATCAAGTAAAATCTCGTGGTCCTCTAACACTAAGGAGCTGAGGAGGCCTGGGGTCCTACCAGCAGTAATGCAAACCTCGGCCCACTCTCCTTGCCTCTTGTGCTTGAGAAATTCTGGGAGATAAGGCAGAATTAAGTGGATTGCTGCAATGCCACCGGCTTGGACCTTGTTTCCTCCCCTGACCCCCAAATGGCATCTTTCCACCTTTTGAAATTCCTCCATCAATGATGATTTATAGTGTGTTTCTATTTTCCTCTGTTGCTTCCTTAATAATTGTATTTTTCTTCTAGTTTTGCAAGACAGTGGTCAACAGGAAGGCCCAGCAGCTCCACCCTCCCGAGTGACAGGCCATCTTCGGACGCAGCCTTTCTGTGCCCATTCTTCAGGCAACTTTCGATCCCTTACTGTAGCTAACTCTAGATGCCCTGTAATATTGTGAACAAATAGACCGTCTGGTATTATGAAGCCCGTGTGTGCGGGAGCCTGCTCCTCTGAGATGTATGGCGTGTAGGTTGCTGTGTTTACAGCTCCTCCCTCTCCAACCATTTTGTTCTCAACCCATTTCTGTGTGTCCTCCGCCCGCCCAGCACCCCTTCCTTTATTTCCAAGTGACATTTTTAGTCTTTCAAAATAGCTGCCTTTTGTGATGTGGTGATTTAAATGATTTAAGTTCATTTGTTTTCAACCTTGGGATAAACTGAGGTATTTTGCTTCATGGACAGATCTTTGCAATTTTGAGTGCTCACCTGGGGAGAGATGAGTTAGAAATACAGTTTTTTCCTCCAGTTCCACAGAACAGCAGTGTGGCTTCATAACTCTGATCTCTGCTCTCAGTAACCCATTGTTGATGTGCCGTAGGCACCAAGGAGGTGCCTAGTACCCAGGGCCAGCCAGTCTGTTTTAAAAATTTAACAAATTCAGATAACCCCTGCCCCAGGCATTGCATCTCTAGTCACTAGTCTTACGGAGACACCTGTGGTTTCTTGGCCCTCCTGTTGCCCACTCTGTCTGAACCTTGCAGAGTCCACAGTAGGCCTGGGTCAGTTCTCCACCTGGAGAGACCTGTCCAGTGTGGCCCTTAGAGTTGAGTCAGCCCCATATGTACTAATTAGTCTGCCCCTCCTCTCCCCCACCCACCACTGGAGGAGCTCTATATGTCCATGCTCCTCTTCCCTTTTGGGCTGGTGCTGTCACTCAGCAATAATCCTCTTTTCTGTGTGCTTTCTTAGATTCCTGTCCTCTGCCTTTGAGGCCGGTTAGGACACAAGGGTCCTGATCTTTTCATGCTGCACAAAATGAGCATGCAAAAAGCTTTTCCCCAGCAGAACATGTTCCCCCTTGTCTCCAGTTGCTGGAAAGGAATTTGAGGATCAGGAACTCAGCTCATCCCACCCCCATGCTGAGTTCTGTCCTGGACAATCAAAAGTCAGAAGCAAGCAGCTATCATAGTCTAGAACTCTTCCAAAGGAGGCCTGTGAAAAAGTCCAGACTCCAGGGGAGGTAGAAGCTACTCAGTGTTTCACAGTTGTGTACAAGTTGGCAGAATCTAAGTATGCCTTCCCAGCAGAAAAATCAGAGATAACTCCAGTGTCACCTGACATTTCCCAAGCCTTGTGAAGTATGTTAGCCCAGTGTGTTGTGATCCAAGCCCATTCTAGTCTTCGTGCAGTGGCTGGTTAAGAGACCAAATCTGTGTTGAGGGAGCGAGAAGTAGGATGGGACCATTTATCCTTATGTTGTTGTCAGTTTGTTTTGCCTTACTGATTTCTAAGTGCAATAAGGGAGTGTTTCATAGGATGGCACCTGTGGCATCCTAATGAATGCTTCCCTGTGACCCTCTTGGGGCAACAGTGGACAGACTCAGACCCCTCAGTGTGGTCATCTCCCACCTTCATTGAGTCCTCTTTTGGACGAGGAAATGTCCTGTTACACCTTCCTTCCAGTCTCCTCACCTCGCAGGGCCTATAGTAATGGATCTGGGGAAGTTCAGTTGGTTCTTAGGATTCCCAGCTGCTGGTAGCCATCTATTTGGGAAAGTGAAGCATTCCTATTGGAGAAAAGTGTAAATGTTTTCCTACAAGCTCTCTATTAGGTATAATTATATTTGTGCTTAAAGTGTTCCCTTCTTCATTCATCAACTAAGTTCAAAGAGGGATAACCTGGGAGAAATGAACTGTGATGTTCTAACCAGTTATGTGGTTTGAGGGTCAGCAAGTGTTAAGTCTCCTTGCTTCAGCTGTTCTCTGAGATCCACACATACCACTCCAACTCTGGTGGGGGCTTGCTTTTTATCTGGCTTTTCTCTGGCTTCTCCCATCTCCATCTGTTGCCCCAGTTTGAAAGCATCCACATGAGCAGAGCTAGAATCTCCTGAGGTCAGCTGGATCTGGGGCTCCAGCCCACAGGAACATAAGGAGGGGTATCCCTGGTCTCTTCTATCCCCACGGATAGTATTGCTGCTGAGCAACAGTGTTGGCTTCTTTTAAGTATCCCCCTTACCTTCTCACCCACATCCTGACTAGCACTGACTAGCACCCAGAGAGGTTTATGATGAAAGGCTCAACTCCAGGGGTAGTACCTGAGGTCGTGCTATGCCCCTTCAGACCAGCTGCTTCCATCAGATTTCCAGTGTCAGAGTCGCAGTTTGAAGCAGCAGCGCCTCTGTAAGGGGTAAGGAGGGGCGGTGCTGGGGTCTGGCCTCACAGAGAGAGGTCAGGGACAGGGTCAGTATTGTGGGCATGTGTATATCTTCCCAAGTTCTCTTACAGTCCCTGCTGGGACTCCCTGACTTATTTTGGTTGGTTCCTAGTGCTACTTCTTTTACAAAATACACTTTGTAGAACTGATTAGATTACCTTGTTAATTTAATGTGAGTTCGTGCCTTTTTGTCTCAATCTTCCAAAACAGGTATATTGGGGGAAAAAGCAGTCTAATAAAATCCTAGACAGAGCTTTCTGGAGTCCAGCTTATTGGTGATGTCCTTATGTCCGTTTTACAACTTAGATATCCTCAAAGTCTTGCTGCTGTCCTCCATTTTACCAGAATTAGGAAAAAGTAGAACATATCTCCCCAAAATTTTTACAGGTCAGTTTCTATAAATTAAAACATCCCCTTGTCGTTTTACTTATGCAGACATCCATATCTGAAAGGAATTCGGCCATTTTCTATTGGCAGATTTCCTTTTTGCTTTTGTCTCCCCTAGTCTTCACATCTCCCTCTTTTTTGCTATCCTACCAAGCAAAACATTTATTTAAAAGAGTTCTTACCCTGGCTTCCAGGTCTGTGAACCTCATTAAAACTTGTTTGTAAAACTCTGTGTGCATTTTTCGAGGGAGAGTCATGGCTCTCATCAGATCCCCAAAGGATCCCATGCACCGCCCTCCCCACCCCACAAAAAGATTAAGAACCAGTTATTTGAAGAAAATCTTAGTTAACCTGTGGCAAAGTAATCTTCATTTCTACTCATCAAATAGAGGCAGTGATTTATTTCTCATTCTTTGGTGGCTAATTTTCTAAGTGTCCAGGAACTCCCTACGTCTAACGTGTAATAGGTAATTAGTTTGAAAGGCGAAAAGCACTTTAAGGAGAGGGGGAGAAGTAAGGATGGAGGAGCTCAATGACCGACACGAGAGCGATTACCTGTAGATGAGGGTTTACAGGCAGGACAGTGGCTGGGCCGGCACCACCCTCACCCTTCACCCACTGGACCCCGAGGCATTGGGAACCTGGAGGGGCACAGCGCCGAGGTCGGAGACCTCATTCGACACCAGCGGAACAGGCCGGGACCAGGCTGCGCGTGCGGCCGGGACTGCGGCTTCCGCGGGAGCACTGTCCCTCCCGCGGCCTCGCGCGGGGCACCCTGGGAGTCGCGGGGCTGACGGACGAGCCCGCCGCCGCGCCGCCGCGCTCCGGGCGGGGCAGTGTTGCGTCGGGCGCTGCCGACACCGAGACGCGCCTCCTCTACATCCCGGATCCCCTAAGGCTCTTTCCTCTCAGCGTTTCGCGCTGGTTGGAGAGTCCCGCCTCTTCCCCCAGGCCGCACCACCCAGAGCCCTTCGTGCCCTTAAGCCCCGCCCCTTACGGAAGCCGAGGCGGCGGATCAGAATCCGGAAGGAAAACAATCGGGTGCGAGTGAGCTAGCCGGGACCTGCTGCCGGAGGGAGGTGGATCGGGCCGGGAGCAGCTGGGGGGAGACACGAGCCGGCCGGGCCGCGGCGTGGGGACCATGGCGGCCCTGAACCCAGGGAAGCCGACCGAACCAAGAGGCAAGAGGCTCAGGTGAGGAAGGCGGCTGCGGGCAAGCCGACCTGCTCCGAGGGGCATCGCTGTCTCCTTCCCTCTCGGGGCTGCGGATCTGGGGCAGAACCAGACTGGGAGAGAGACCGCGCCTACAGGGCTGGTTCTAGTTCACAGACCCTTCGCAGTTCTCCCAAGCCAGTGTCGAGGGGGTGTTTGGGGCCCAAGCCCCGCGCTCCCTCCAGACTCCGGCCACCGACCGCGTTCCTATTTGGGCGCCCCAAGCAGGTGTTTCGGTCGGCTTCTGACGGAGGGAGCGGTATTGGGCTGTTTGAGGTTAAAGACATAACAAGGCAGTCTCCTCTCAGCTCTAGAATAGAAATTGTATTCTTTTGGTCAGCACATACATCACGGGTCTGCCTGATCCGGTTTTGACCTCCCAAAATCCGAAATCGGGTTTAGATAAGATCCTTTAGTGCAGTGATATAGCCTGGTCCCATGCTTGTTCTTTAACGAAGGACAACGCTAATCACCAACTTAGTGCAGGTCACAATGTAAGGATTTGCTGCTAATCGTCGGATCAGAGAGTGAGGGCAAGAAATCCCGACTTTGACTCTCCATTCACTTAGTCTCTGGGAAAACCGAAGAGCCTAGGACTAAAAGGGCTACTTTCCTTAATCCTGCGTTGGACAGCAGGGGGAGATCGTAAACAAACGAAGTGCAGAATCTCTGGCCAAATGCCTGCGAAGGTGGTTTGTGTATTGTTTTGTTGATGTTCACAGGGAGGGGCAGTTGTTTTAAGGAGAAGTTGTTTTAAGCTGGCCAAGAATTTCAAGTTGTGCTTTTTAAAGCATGGACCTCTAAGAACAGGATCTGGTGGAAAAGAGATGTTCTGGACACGCTGCCCTGTTCTCCTGCCCCTCTCAACCCCCTGTACCCTCACCCATTCTAGGTTTTCCGTTGCTGCAGGTCCTCCTCCTCACTGTGTACCTAGGACTCCCCTAAGGCTTGGTGGCTCCTTGGTCTCTGCAGGTTTTGTAGCCCCTGACTGCTGTGTACTCCGCTGACTCTGGGGCTTTCTTGGGAGTGTTGCTGTAACTATTCAATTAAAGAGATCTGTAAGTGTCCTTCCTCTGAGCCTCTGATGGGATCCATTGTTACTGAGAGCTGCTGATCTAGTTCTTTTGCTTCCCTAAGGCTTATATGAAGCCAAGGTTGAGGATGTTATCCAACTGATGACCTTTCCCAAAAGGGGGTAGACTCTTGAGGGAGATGTTGAGAACCCTGTTATTTAGAATCTTCTCCTTAGGTTCCCTGAAATACTTGGCAGAATTGGCTATGCTCCAGGAACCTGCTAGGAAGAGGAGAGAAGGGGGATATGATGGTCTTTGTTATTTTTGAAGTTCTCCTGTCTTGTAGTGCTGAGGCCTCTTACAAGGTGAAAACTGAACTTCCAGAATCTTTCTGGTGGTCTTAGGAGCCCTGAGGTGTGAATGACTGGTGGAATTACTAAATTCCTGACTACCTGCCCCATCCCCATCCCTATCCCTTCTCTCACCTGACCCCGAAACTTTTACACCCACTTTGGCAACTTTCCTAATGTCAGCAGTACCAGTGCTGCCAAGGTGTGGGCAGTTATGAGCCTGCATGGAGGAGCTAAAACAGGGTGGAAATGTCCTTGTAGTTCAGTGCCCCTATTCCCACCAGGTACACAAACTCGTGTTTCCCATTATAGTTGCAGTGAATTGTGGTGCAGCCATTAGCAGGCCTCTCCCCCTGTTTATTACTTGGTAAGCTCCTCCCCCCTCCACAACTTCCCTTGGCATCCCTTCCACAGCATACAAGTTGTGACATGGAACGTGGCCTCTGCAGCACCTCCTCTAGACCTCAGTGATCTTCTTCAGCTGAACAAAGACAATCTGAATCTGGACATGTATGTCATTGGGTAGGTATCTGCAGTGCCCCTTCACCCATTTCCATTTCTGAAATAGGTAAGCCCAACTAGTCCAAAGTTGTCCCCATGGGGTAGTACTGTAGCCTGTCCTCCCTCACTGTGGAGTCTTAAGGTTGGGAGCTTTCAGCCTGCATCAGGACTAGTCAGTATCTCTTGTCCTAAGTCAGTAATGGCAAGGGGTTGGCAATCAACAGCCAGGGGAGGGAGAGATCACGGCCGTGAGTAGCCAAAGTTTCAAAGTGCTGAGGGCAGTACTAAATGTCTGTGGCAGAGGACCTACTCTCCAGGCCAGGGGAGAGCCTCTGACCTGGGATGGGCAGTTTGCAGGAAATGAACTGTGGGATCATGAGCCTCCTTTCTGACACTGCCTTTGAAGACCCATGGAGCAGTTTCTTCATGGATGTGCTTTCCCCTCTGAGCTTCGTCAAGGTAACTAACAAGTTCATGGGCAGTGGGAAATGTGTTTCAGCTCTTGTCATTAACCCCCAGTTCTCCAATCTTCCACTTGGGCTTTCATGCTGTTTCCATTTATTTAAAGGCTTAAAGCTCAATTGCACGTGGCTGCCAGGGGCTCCTGCCTGCCTTGGGTCTTTCTAGTGCAGTGGAGCTGAGCTGGGACCCCAGGGGTTCATTTAACACTTTGTCATTTTTCAGGTTGGGAGAATCCTGGGGGAAGCACAGCAGGGCTTATTTACACTTGTGCCTATCCACCGCAGCCTCCAATCTACTCACATGCCCAGACTGAAATCCCGGAGTATAATAATAACTGATAACATTTATTGAGTGCTTATTTGGCAGTAAGCATCGTAAATAAGCTCTTTATGTACATTTTTAAGCACTCTTAACTCTCTTGAAATGTGGTTATTTTAAGGATGAAACCAAGACTCAAAGGCCATACAAGCTATCTGGGATTTGACTCTAGATCTTTCAAACTTCATAACCTATGTTCTTTTTTTTTTTTTTTTCTTTACTGTATTAGCATGGAGTTAATTTTCAATTTACTCCGGGGGATGCCTGAGTGGCTCAGTGGTTGGCCATCTGCCTTCTGGCTCAGGGCAATATTCCTGGAGTCCCGGGATCGAGTCCCACGTCGGGCTCCCTGCATGGAGCCTGCTTCTCCCTCTGCCTATGTCTCTGTTTCTGTCTCTATCTCTCATGAATAAATAAATAAAATCTTTTTTAAAAAGTTTTCAATTTTTAATTTTTTAAAAAGATTTTCCATTTATTCATTTGAGAGAGACAGCATGAGCAAGAGCAAGGGGGAGGGGCAGAGAGAGAAGCAGATTCTCCACTGAGCAGGGCATTGACACTAGGTTCGATCCTCGGACCTAGGGACCATGACCTGAGCCTAAGGCAGATGCTTAACCGACTGAGCCACCCAGGCGCCCCATAACCCATGTTCTTAACTACTATACTTTGTTGCTATACTGGGGAGCTCTGAGGCTGACAGGTATCCCATGGCTAGCTTTTGGTATCAGAGGGTATCCTCTGATCACAGGAGACATGTACCTCAAATTCTCAGGGGCCCAGAGGTTAGGAGAGGAGAGAAGGATGGGGAGGAAAATAGTTCTCAGTCTGAAGGACCAGTATTCTTTGGGGGAAGTAGACCATAGGAAGGCTCTAGATTGCTAGATCTTCACCTTTATGTCCTTCACAGCTGAGGCATGAAGCATACTCCCATTCAAAGAACTCTGTGCAATATTTCTTGGAAATAACCAGAATTCCTCTAATCCCTTTCTGGGTGACTATATTTCTTCAGAATTAATTCTCTTACCCCAGTTTGCCTAAGGGTGAGTCCTCTCAAGGGCAGAGCCAGAAGGAGGGAATACAAGCTTTGTCCTGCTGAGGCTGAAAAAGCCAGTCCCCAAACCCCAGATGCAGCTCAGGCCTCTTGCTACAGATGTGGAAGCTAGATCCTCCAAGAGGGCAGAACCACTTCTCTCACCACCCACTTTCTTCCCAAGACCGGAGGCCTCCTTGGACCTCGGCTTACTGTTAAGGGATTGGTAGACTGGAATCAAGCCAAGGAAATTAGCTCAGCTTGTGGTAGGGACACAACCCATTCTACCCATGTGGCCTCCCATGTTTGGGAGGCCTGCCTGAGGGCCTGGCACCCAAAGAAGATGGGTGACCCTCCTTCCCCCAGCCAAGAGTTGAGGTGAAGGGGTGAGCCCCACTTGTAGCCTGTTCCTCTGGCAGAAGTTTTTGCCAGTTAGAGGTTGAGAAGCCTGGGCCTGACCCCCTTTGCTGGCTCCAGGGCCCCTAGCTGCCTCCCCTTAGGCCCTTCCTTAGCTCCTCCTACTTCACTTCCTCTAACAGAACTTCCCCTGCAAGTCTCCTGCCTTTCCCCACAGCCCCACCCTTTCTCCCAGTCTGAGGCTTTCCTGCCTCCCTCCCCTAACCCCAGCCTTACTCCTTCACAAAGTGGACTGGTACCTTTGTGCTGGGTCCTAGTGGCCCAGACTTGCTCTGTGGGTTAGGATTAAGCTTAAAAGCTCTTCCTGGATCTCTAGCAGTTCCTTAGGAGTCAGTTCTGTTGTCATATATGCCTGTGAACAAAAGACACCAAGATGGGGCTGAAGGGTGGGGTTGGAGACACATTAGTAGCAACCTCTACCCAATCCTAGGTTCTCACGCCTCCCTCACTCAGTCTTGGGCTTGGGGTTCCCCCTGCTTTGACTCCTCCACTGTGCCAGAGCTCCTGGCCTGTGGGATCAAGTTTCATAATTCCTGGAAGGCCCCAGTACATGCTCCCCACCCGGGGATTTCCTCCTTGGCCTCTGCACCTCATTCTCCGGAAACAGCTACTCGGGTGGTAGGTGTAGACAGCCTGAAGCTCAGAGAGAGGGTCACTGGCTATGGCCCTTTCCCATTCCACCTCACAGATGGCAGGGATTGTAGGGATCCTGGACCTCTAACATTGTTATCTGAGTAGTCCTCCTGGTTCCTTAGTCTCCTTCAGCCTCAGCTTTCTGTCTGCAGAACAGGGATGATGGTTCCTAACAAGGTTGGCAATATGAAGGATTTCTGTACTATTCTCCCCAATCTGCAAACACATGTCCACTGTGCTTGCTCTCATTGCCTCTTTTTTTTTTTTAAGATTGTATTTATTTATTCATGAGAGACAGAGAGAGAGAGAGGACGGGGGCAGAGATAGGGCAGAGGGAGAAACAGGCTCTATGCAGGGAGCCCGACGTGGGACTCGATCCCGAGACCCCAGGATCACGCCCTGGGCTGAAGGCGGCGCTAAACCCCCAAGCCACCCAGGCTGCCCATCTTTTTTTTTTTTTTAATAATAATTTTTTTTTTATTGGTGTTCAATTTGCCAACATACAGAATAACACCCAGTGCTCATCCCGTCAAGTGCCCCCCTCAGTGCCCGTCACCCATTCACCCCCGCCCCCCGCCCTCCTCCCCTTCCACCACCCCTAGTTCCTTTCTGAGAGTTAGGAGTCTTCATGTTCTGTCTCCTTTTCTGATATTTCCTACCCATTTCTTCTCCCTTCCCTTCTATTCCCTTTCACTATTATTCCAGGCTGCCCATCTCATTGCCTCTTTATTGCCTTTGTGGAAATCCAACTACCCACAGTGTATAATTATTTTGGGGAGCATTTTCTCAATTTTTTCCCATTGAGTTATGATAAATGCAGAAATTAGATGTATTTTTGATGGATTGTTATGTGTATATGCTTTGATGTTACTACCAGCCAAGTCAAGGTACTGAATATTTCTAGCACCCTAGAAGGCTCTTTCATGTTCTTTCCCTGAATTTACTTTTTTTTTTTTTTTTTTTTTTTTAAGTAGGCTCCATGCCCAACGTGGGGCTTGAACTCACGGGGCTGAGATGAAGAGTCATGTGCTCTACCAACTGAGCCAGCCAGGCGCCACTCCCTGCATTTATTTTATTTTTTTTTTAATCTTTAAACCAGGGGCTCCTGGCTGACTCAATTGGAAGAGCATTCAACTCTTGATCTTGGGGTCATGAGTTCAAGCCCTACATTGGGTGCAGAGATTACTAAAAAAATATATTTTAAAACCTTAAACCAGGAAATAATAGCTGCCAGTTAATCTTTCCAGCATCTATGAGATAGATGAGATAGAGTCTTGCTTTATCAATGAGAAAATCGACTGAGACTTGGCCCAAGATCACATACTAAGAGCCCACATGGGATTTTTTTTTTAAGATTTTATTTATTTATTCATGAGAGACACAGAGAGAGAGAAAGAGAGGCAGAGACACAGGCAGAGGGAGAAGCAAGCTCCATGCAAGGAGCCTGTTGTGGGACTCAAACCCAGGAATCTGGGATCATGCCCTGAGCCAAAGGCAGGCCTCAACCACTGAGCCACTCAGGTGCCCCACCACGTGGGATTTGAACCCAGATCTGGATAACTTAAAAGCCAGTGCCCTTAGCCACTATCTTACCGTAGGCCTTTCCTCTTAGAGGCCCTGGCCCACAGGGGTGGCAGCTGGAGTGCCCAGAGGACACATAGAACATGGAGAGAGGGGGATCCCTGGGTGGCTCAGCGGTTTAGTGCCTGCCTTTGGCCCAGGGCGTGATCCTGGAGCCCCGGGATCGAGTCCCACATCGGGCTCCCGGCATGAAGCCTGCTTCTCCTTCCGCCTGTGTCTCTGCCCCCTCTCTCTCTTTCTATGTCTATCATGAATAAATAAATAAAATATTTTTTAAAAAAAGAACATGGAGAGAGGAGTCCCTAGGCTGCATGGTACTGGGACTGAAGAGTCAGTGCTCTCCTGATGGCAGGGTGCCCTGGCAGCCTTGTCTTCTCTGCCTTCCACCCAAGCCTAGGAACAGAAACTGGAATTTGCTTAGCTCTCAGAATATATCATTTGGCAGTTCAGGAGAGTAAAACTCTGAGCCTGAAGCTGAGATACCATTGACCTCAGGGCTGGACGAGGACTTGCTCAGCCTGTGCAGGGAAATGAATGACCATTGTCCCCTCTATGCTGTAGGTGTCCAGTGTCCGCATGCAGGGGCTCCTCTTACTGTTCTTTGCCAAGCATCATCATTTGCCCTTTGTCCAGATCCTCTCTACTAAATCCACCCCCACTGGCCTCTTCGGGTACTGGGTAAGGACTGAGTTTTCTGAGTCATGAGCTGGGAGGCCTTCTGCCACTGGGCTGGGGAGGACTGGATGCTTTTGGGGCAAACAAATGGAAAAGGGGGGTGAAATGAATCTTAGCACTCTTCCAGACCAGTGCCCCGCATACCTGCTCTCCTGCCTCTGGGAGCTTAGCACCCCAGAGGCCTCAGGCTGGGTGAGCTGGGCTCTTAGATGGAGAGGTCACTCCAGGGAGCTGAGTATCTAGCCCTAGAGATCCTATGGCAGGCTGAGACCATCTCAGCTTAGGCTTGGGATGGGAAAGGGGAGGTATGTCTCAGAGCAACTTCCTGCCCTTCTGCCCACTTGTCCTACCAGGGGAACAAAGGAGGTGTCAACATCTGCATGAAGCTTTATGGCTACTATATCAGCATCATCAACTGCCACCTGCCCCCCCATATGGCCAACAATGACCAGAGGCTGGAGCACTTTGACCGGATCTTGGAGATGCAGAATTTTGAAGAACAGGATATCCCTAACATCCTGGACCATGAGTGAGCATGCACTTGTGAAGTGTTGCCCCTGCCCTCGTCCCTACACCAGCCCAGGCTAGCATTCTCCTCAGGCAGCCTGTGTTCCACTCCAGGCCTTTCTCAGCCTGTTCTCTGATGCCTCATCTGCTTTCCTGTCCAGCTTTACCTGCCTGGGGTCTAGGACCCCTTCCCTTTTCCTGACCCCTATGACCTGCCTAGGAACTTGTACACTTCTCAACAAACTAGATTGAGAACCCCGTGGTTCCTGAGGTCACCCCCAGGGAGCTGGTTTTCAGCCTTGCCTTGTGGCCTATTGAGGGAGGGAGAGGGAGGGCAAGAGCCTACTCTGTATTTGTTACTTGCCCCTGGGGGCTGATCTTTTTGGCTTAAATGGCAGGAAAGCAGCCTTGAGAATAGTTCAGTAGGGCCCATGCCATGTCATCACTGTCACTGGCTCCTCTCCCAGCTTCCATTGTCTCACCTGCCCCTTGAGCTCTGCGCTGGAGGAGTAAGCAGGCCTGAGGCCTGCTGCTCCTCCCTTTTCTGCCCTCATTACAACCCTCAGCTGCTTTTTCTCTCTGCAGCCTCATTCTCTGGTTTGGAGACATGAACTTTCGGATTGAGGACTTTGGGCTGCATTTTGTTCGGGAATCCATAAAAAATCGGTGCTACAGTGACCTGTGGGAGAAGGATCAGGTATCAAGTGAGGGAAGGGTCCAGAGGGGTGATCTGGGCCCATTGTGGAAATTCAACATCAAATGTGGGGGGCCACTTCTCAGGTTCCTGAGCACCTGCTCTCCGTTTCCAAGCCTTTGAAGTCCTCATTCTCAGGCAGGGAGGAGTTTAACAGGGCTTTGCACCCTAGGGGCCTGGTCTTCACCTGGGGGAGCTGGTGGGTGTGCATTAAGATAGGGAACGCAAGCAAGAGCTTCAGCTTGCTGTGGTCCTGTACCCAGCAGTAACTCGCTTGTATCCCTGTCGTCTTTTCTATCCCCAGGCTTGCTTGCCTCCTGGAAGATGAGATACCATCCCTTTGCAAGGGGACCCTGGCTACTCCAGCCTCCCCTCTGATAACGTTTGCTAATGGCTCCCAGACAGAATTCAAAGCCTGGTTCCTATAGTCCAAGGACTGGGAAATAGTAGGCAGTTGCCTCCCCTGGGACTATGGGATAATGTTTGCAAAAGGATTCGGCTGCTTTCCAGGGGATGGTGGTGGAATGGAAAGGGCTGCTGAGGCTGTCACTGAAGCAGTGAGGAAGTGAAGTGGTATGGCTTGACTCTTGGCCTACCATGATGGCATGTGCTGAGCCCTTGAATGGAGTGTGTACTGGGCCATTGGGTCAGGACTACTAGGAGATGAGACTGTGCCTTTCTCTCCAGCTCAGCATCGCCAAGAGACACGATCCACTGCTCCGGCAATTCCAGGAGGGCCCCCTGCTCTTCCCACCCACCTACAAGTTTGATAAGAACTCCAACAATTATGACACCAGGTGAGGGGGCTCCACCTTTAGAGGATCAGCCTGTCACAGATTTGGAATTAGCCTATGAGGAGAAAATGAGGGGCCAAGAGGCCTGGGAAGTCAAATTGTGTGGCAGAAGGAGCTGCCTCAGAATAGAAGTGTTAGGGAAGCAGGAATAGATCCAGCCATCACCTCAGGAGTGGCACCTCCCACCCACCTAATGAGGTGGTGACTGTGGGAGTTGTCCTAGATTGTCGTCAGAGAGCAGGAAGGTGGTGGCAAGGTGGGGGTGGTGGTGAAGCAGCTGATTCCTCACTTGGTGGGGACTGCATTTCATCATTTTGGGAACCCTTGCCTCCACTCCCCTTGGCTTTCTGGTCCTTTCCGGACAGGGACAGAAATTTTGGCTCAACCAGCTACTGCTATCAGGTACCCCTGCCCCAGCTGTGAGTGGATCAGGTACTACTTAGGAAAATGAAGCAGTAGTTGTCAATGGAGGAGTTTACAGGGAACAAAATAGAGACAGTACATCTAGTAATTAGAGATACAACTCTGACCCTCATCAGCTACATGTCCTCATCAGCTACATGTCCTTAAGCCTCAGTTTTATCATCTATAAGATGGGGATAATAGAAGCACCCACCTTCATGAGGTTGAGGAGTGAATGAGACCTTATGTGTGCTTAGCACAGTGCCTGGCACCTGGTAAGCACTGTGACAATTGCTGTTGCTAGATTCATGTCTTCAGGTGGTAGTTTTACTAAAAACCTTTCTAAAAAGCCGAGAAGGGTCCAGGTAACCACCGAAACTTTAAGCTTAGGCAGAGGGTCAAGAGCGGCTCCTGCATGAAGTTCCTTTTCCAATTTGGCAAGGATTCTCTTCTCTTCGAAGAAAAAGAAGAACCCTTTCTTTTTTTTTTTTTTTTTTTAAATTTATGATAGTCACAGAGAGAGAGAGAGAGAGAGAGAGAGAGAGAGGCAGAGAGGCAGGCTCCATGCACCGGGAGCCTGACGTGGGATTCGATCCCAGGTCTCCAGGATCGCGCCCTGGGCCAAAGGCAGGCGCTAAACCGCTGCGCCACCCAGGGATCCCAAGAAGAACCCTTTCCATGTTACAGGGTTTTTGTTTCACCTGGAGCAGCTCCTTCATTTATTCCTCTTAGCAGAGCTGGGGGTTTTTTTGTTTTGTTTTTTTTTTTAAGAGAGCACAAGCAGGAGTAAGGGGTGGGGGAGGGCAGAGGGAGAGGGATAAGTAGATTCACCACTGTGCAGGGAGCCCACATGGGGCTCAATCCCAGGCCCCCAGGATCACGACCCAAGCAGTGGGCAGACACCCAACCAACTGAGCCACCCAGGTGCCCTATCCTCTTAGCAGAACTGTCTTATGAGGGAGGCAGGAGGTGCCTCCAGGGCAGTGCCTCTAGAATTGAGGGAGTGAATAAGTATCTCCCCAGCCAGGCCAGGGTGAGAGGTAGAACTGCTGGCCCTGTGCTAGAAGTGGTATGGCAGAGCCAGTGTCCCCTCCAAGGAAGGAAGAGGGGGTGAGGCATTTCAGGACTGTAGAGCAAGACTTGGTGGGGTCATGGCCTGGGCAATGCACTCAAGAAGAGGCTATGAACACTGAAAACAGTCTAGCCTAGGCAACAGAGGCAGGCCAGAAAGGAGGTAAGAGGGCAGGTTCTAGCTGGCCAGCTGGCGTGAGGCCACAGCTTCAAGGAGACTGCCAATCTCCTAGCCATCCATTGAAAATGAGAGCTATCATGGAAATTGTGAGACCTTAGTAGGATGGGCCTGGGCCTTGGTGGCTGGGACTTTCTACCAATGGACTTTATTTTTTTTTTTTTAAGATTGTATTTATTTATTCATGAGAGACAGAGAGAGAGGCAGAGACACAGGCAGAGGGAGAAGCAGGCTCCATGCAGGGAGCCCGGGGACTCCATCCTGGGTCCGCAGGATCAGGCCCTGGACTGAAGGTGGCGCTAAACCGCTGAGCCACCCGGGCTGCCCTCTACCAGTGGACTTTATTTTTATTTTATTTTTTTAAATTTTTAATTTATTTATGATAGTCACACACACACACAGAGAGAGGCAGAGACATAGGCAGAGGGAGAAGCAGGCGCCATGCACCGGGAGCCTGACGTGGAATTCGATCCCCGGTCTCCAGGATCGCGCCCTGGGCCAAAGGCAGGCGCTAAACCGCTGCGCCACCCAGGGATCCCTACCAGTGGACTTTAAATCCTCACTTGATAGCACGAAGAAAGCTGCTGGCAGGCCATGTGGCCAGGGGTCCCTTTGCCCCTACCCCCAGGTATGGTAGGGAAACTACCAGGAGACTGGAAGTCCTTGCAGACAGCTGAGTGTAGGCTAGGCTGTATTCACCAGGTACTGAGTTTGGGTACAGAGGCTCAGAGATGTTAAAAGACTTCAAAGGACTTCCCCAGGAGGCTTAGCTAGTAGTGGTGGAGCTGGAGCTAAGACCTGACTCTGAACTCTGCCCCACAGTGATTCCATCTAGCCCATAGTACCTCCAAATTCACAGCGAGTCTTGCCAGCAGCAGCAAAAAGGAAGGCAGGATTGGAATAGCAGAGGCTTGCTAAATAGGAGTCAGATACTTATTTCCATATAATAGATACAGTCCACATCATGATTGACATTACTGAGCACTTACCATGTGCCTGTGTGACCAGACTGTTATTCATCCTTGAAAACCTAGTTCAGATATCGTCGCTATTAGAAAGACTTCCCTAACCCTTCTCCATCTCACTGAGAGTTCTCTCCTGGCTGTATGCTGCCTGAAAGCCTTGCACACACCATGCTTTCAGTATTGCTTTTAAGTCACTGTGCTTTTCCTGCTGTACTACAAATACCTGAAGAGACTGCATCTGATTTATGACCATCTCTGGTATATAGCATAGTGCCTGGCTTATGTCTCTTGGGAGCCTGAGAGGACAAAAGGAAAATATAAAGTATTTAAGGGACAGCCAGTCTATGGGATGCCTGGATGGCTCAGCGGTTGAGCGTCTGCCTTCGGCTCAGGGCGTGATCCTGGGATCTGGGATCAAGTCCCACATCGGACTCCCTGTGGGGAGCCTGCTTCTCCCTCCACCTATGTCTCTGCCTCTGTATGTGTGTGTCTCTCATGAATAAATAAATAAATATTTTTTAAAAGGGGGGAGGGTAGGGATCCCTGGGTGGCACAGCGGTTTGGCGCCTGCCTTTGGCCCAGGGCGCGATCCTGGAGACCCGGGATCGAATCCCACATCAGGCTCCTGGTACATGGAGCCTGCTTCTCCCTCTGCCTGTGTCTCTGCCTCTCTCTCTCTCTATGTGACTATCATAATTAAATAAATAAATAAATAAATAAATAAATAAATAAATAAATAAATAGGGGGGAGGGTAGAGCCAGTCTATTAGAGGGCTCCATCCACAGCAAGAGATCCAAATAAGCACTGTCAAGTCCAGGAGTTGACCATTAGAAGGTTCTAAAACTCTGAAAGTACTGAAGGAGGTTGAATGAATAGTAAGGAAGTAGGCGCCTGAAGCCAGGAGTCAATCAGAGCTACTGTCAAGGAAACAGCATAGTTTGGCAGAAAGAAGGGCAGCATTCTGGTCAGTCAACAGCACTGATGAAAGGTACCTTGAGAAGAGCCTGACCAACTGTACAAAGTGACTGTGAGTGAGTTGTGTGCAGGGCATGGTACACACATGGCTTTGCCCAGCCATGGCAATATCCATGAGCCGAAATGTCAGCTCCATATAGATGAAAGGGCCCAAGTGGGAAATCCTGTTAAAGTCAAGGATTGCTATAAGGTTTTGTTAAGTCATCACGAGCTTGGTCAGCCTCTTCCACTAGGCAACGAGCAGAGGGTATTAGGATCAATCTAGTCAAGATTCATGTCCAGAGTTCAGGGAGATACTTAGAAGCCATCTATACGGAGCTGAAGGGAAAAGTTTCATTTCAGACCCAGAAATGGAACACATCATTACTTTGGGATCAGCAAATTGCCTCAATTTTCTAGGCTCTAGAGAAATTTGCAGAGCTAGTTGGTTTTAGTTTTTCTAAAGTAAGGACATACTAATCTCCAGAAACAATTCTTGTACTCAATCACAACCATTCAGCCAAAAAGCCTAAGTGAGGTCCAGTTCTGGTAAGACTATGAGACAGTTCTGGCTGCTGGGAATTGGCCAGTAGAGTGCAGTGGAAGGAGCACAGACTTCATAGACCTGGGCAAGCATCTAACTTCTGCCTGGACAGAGTGACCTCTGAACTTCAGTGTCTTGTAAATAGAGAGAACGTGACCTATAATATACTACCAGTGAGTGCTGAGAGGATTAGGACTAGGCCATTAGACACCTATCACAGGAAGACCCTATGTTTTGCAATTATTATTAGAAATGAAGAACTGGGCACAGGAGAGCCCTTTGGTGGAGGCGGGGTTTAGTCGGTTAAGCATCCAGCTCTTGGTTTCAGCTCTAGTTGTGATCTCAGGGTCGTGGAATCAAGACCTCCATCAGGCTCTATGCTCAGCGAACAATCTGCTTGAGTTTCTCTCTCTTTCTGCCCCTCCCCACTTGTGTGCACACGTGCATGCTCTCTCTCTCTCCAATAAATAAATAAATCTTAGAAAGAAAGAAATGGAGAATTGGGGAATATATGTAATATTTAATTTGTACACATTTATTCACTTATTTACTTATAAGTAGGCTCCATGCCCAAAATGAGCCTTGAACTCACAACCCTGAGATTGGGAGTCCCATGCTCTACTGAATGAGCAAGCCAGGTGCCCCAATTTGTACACATTTAACTTTGTTTCAGACAAAGGTCCTTGAGGACCTTGTCAGTCCCATTTTTCAGATGCCCAGTTGCCCAGCACATAATAAGGGCTCAGTAAATCTTCATTGAAAGACTGAAGCAGGATACCTGGATGGGTCAGTGGTTGAGTGCCTGCCTTTGCCTCAGGGTGATCTGAGGGGTGATCTCGGGGTCCTGGGATCAAGTCCCACATCGAGCCTGCTTCTCCCTCTGCCTATGTCTCTGCCTCTCTCTCTCTGTGTCTCTCATAAATAAATAAATAAAATGTTTTTTAAAAAAGAAAGACTGGGGATCCCTGAGTGGCGCAGCGGTTTGGCGCCTGCCTTTGGCCCAGGGCGCGATCCTGGAGACCCGGGATCGAATCCCATATCGGGCTCCCGGTGCATGGAGCCTGCTTCTCCCTCTGCCTGTGTCTCTGCCTCTCTCTCTCTCTCTGTGACTATCATAAATAAATAAATTAAAAAAAAAAAAGAAAACAAAAAAAAATAATAAAAAATAAAAAAGAAAGACTGAAGCATACAGGTGCCCAGTGATAAGCCTGGGCAGGCCCTGGAAAAGGAGGAAGGAAAGACAGGCAGTGGTCAGGACTTACGGAGGATCCTGAAGTGACAACAAGTCACCATAATAGGGAAGTTGGGGTGGGGCAATGCTTTGAAAGGGAGAGTGGTACTTTGTGTGGTTCATTCCCAAGTTTAAGCATTGCCAGATACGTGGGTTTGGAGATTCTGTGTCTGTCGTCTCTGGGGTGGAAATAGCACTCTGCAGAATAGCTCTGAGCATTCCTCAGAAGAGTGGAAGGTTCAGACAACCCGAGGAGCCTGAGCCAGTTAGTGATTCTTGACCACTCCCTTGACACACCCTAATTTGTTTAAGCCTCTTAATGGCTCTTTGAAGGAAGTACTGTTATCACCCCATCTTAGAGCTGAAGGAGCTGAAGCTGGCAGTAGTGAAGCCACTTGCCCATGAGCATGTAGCTTTTTCTCTTTCTCCTTTAAACTAGATTACCAGTTAATTATAAAATGATATAATTCAGGAACAGGAATATGGAAAAGATGCCTAGGGCAAGGTGTGACGAGAGGGCAAGGAGCTTCCATGCCCTCTGAGCCCACCACTCTAAGTCACGTGTTCACCAACCAGAACCACATAGCTCTTAATTAACAGGGCAGAACCTTCGCCCAAATCCTGGTGTCTGACTCTGGAGTCAGACTTTACCAGCGAGACATCATTCTGCCTCTGTTGCTAGAAGACTGTATTACTGTTGAATGGACAACAGTATGTTGGAAATGTTTATTTAAAACAGTAAGTGAATAAAACAGAAGGCGAAAAATAGCATTGCAAACTGGTTATCAGCATCTGAAACTGTATACATTAGGACTGGATGGGCGTTTTTTTTTTTTTGTTTTTTTTTTAAAGATTTTATTTATTTATTCATGATAGTCACAGAGAGAGAGGCAGAGACACAGGCAGAGGGAGAAGCAGGCTCCATGCAGGGAGCCCGACGCGGGACTTGATCCTGGGTCTCCAGGATCGTGCCCCAGGCCAAAGGCAGGCACTAAACCGCTGCGCCACCCAGGGATCCCTGTTTTTTGTTTTTTTAAGTTATTGAAGAGGGGATCCCTGGGTGGCTTAGCAGTTCAGCCCCTGCCTTTGGCCCAGGGGGTGATCCTGGGGTCCCGGAATCGAGTCCCACGTCGGACTCCCAGCATGGAGCCTGCTTCTCCCTCCTCCTCTCTCTCTCTCTCTCTCTCTCTCTCTCTCTCTCTATCATGAATAAATAAATAAAATCTTAAAAAAATATAAAGTTATTGAAGAGTTTTATTTTTTTAAAGATTTTATTTATTTATTCATAGACACACACAGAGAGAGAGAGACAGAGACACAGGCAGAGGGAGAAGCAGGCTCCATGCAGGGAGCCTGATGTGGGACTCCATCCCAGGTCTCCAGGATCACACCCCAGGCTGCAGGCAGCGCCAAACCGCTGCGCCACCGGGGCTGCCCTGGATGGGCGTTTTTTGAGGAGAGAGATTTGAGTTTGGGGTTTTAGTTTAGGTTTGTTTTTTTTTTTTTAAGATTTATTTATTCATGAAGGACACAGAGGGAGAAGCAGGCTCCCCACAGGGAGCCCTATGCAGGACTAGATCCTAGATCCAAGGATCACACCCTGAACTGAAGGGAGACGCTCAACCTCTGGACCACCCAGGAGTCGCTAGTTTAGGTTCTACAAGCAGTTGTGCCTACTATGTGCTAGGCTCTGTACTAAAGCTGAGGCTGTGCAGGAGACTTTGAGAGCCCGTGCTTGCCTTCCGAGCTCACACTAGCCAACTTGCAGACTGGGAAACAGGAAACGACAGCACTGGATAACATAATAGGGGAAGCACTGGTACAAAATGCTTTGGAAGCAGAAAGCAAAGCTCAAAGACGGCTTTCTGACAAAGACAGCATTGGAATTGGGCCTCTCTCTGTGAAGAAGGGTGTTCCAGGCAGCAAAAACTGCAAGAGTAAAGGTCCAGAGGCGGGAGAGTCATTGGTGTGGACGGGTCTGGGACGGTACGGGGAGATAGAGAAGGGGAAGGGTGTCAGAAAAAAGCCATCCTTAGGGACTTGAAAACTCCTGAAAGGTTTTAAAGTGGGGAACCAAAAATAAATAAATAAAGTGGGGAACCATCTGACTAAGATTTACTACTCTGGGGTCATTTAAAATCAAGGGGGAGGAACCCAGAACAGCAACTGCTTCCACTGCCAATCCAGGTTGTGGGATCTTCCCTTGGAGGGCACAACCTGCTTGCCCAGCCAGTCTTAAAAAACACCTCAATAGCTCACTGGGCATAGCTGTGTTAGGAGTCAGAGACTTGCCTGTCTTGGGTAAAAGTTACGTAGGGGAGGAAAGCACTCCGGTCTCCAGGGGCTATACGGCCTCTTGAGTGAAGCTGGTTAAGCAAAGAACAGGCCAGAGATCTCTCAGTTGACTATTAAGAACGAAGCGCAGAGAGCTTATTTTGTACCAGGCACTGTGCTAAATATTTCATGTGCCCTATCTCATTTAATCATGTCAGCAACCGTGTGAGGTAACTATTATTACCTTCATCTTATGGATGAGAAAGCAGAGGCCTAAGAGGGGTTAGCTTGGTGGTTAAGAACTTGTGTTCTGTGGTCATGCTGCCTGGCCTTGAATCCTGACTCCGCCACTCAGTAGCCATGTAACTTTGTGAAGGTTCTTTCCTCACTAAGTTTCAGTTTCTCCACCTGTGAGAGGGGGACAGGTGGTACTGATGGCAGGCACATGGTGAACCTCCTGAAGTGCTTCCCTTTCTTTTCCTGAGATCTCACCGTTAGTGAAATTGAAGCCAAATTCCAGCTTACCTCTGACTCCAAAGTCCTAGCCTCAGCTTCTTTGGTCTACTGCTGTTTTTGTTCTAGAAGTAAGAAAAGCTTTTTTTTTTTTAATTTTTATTTATTTATGATAGTCACAGAGAGAGAGAGAGAGAGAGAGGCAGAGACATAGGCAGAGGGAGAAGCAGGCTCCATGCACCGGGAGCCTGACTTGGGATTCGATCCCGGGTCTCCAGGATCACGCCCTTGGCCAAAGGCAGGCGCCAAACCGCTGCGCCACCCAGGGATCCCGTAAGAAAAGCTTTGAAATGGAATGTTTCTGGATCACAATTTGACTCATAAAAATGTAGACCTAACTAAAGGCCCTGACTGATTCTGACAAAGGCCAGTATGCTTCTGATTCCTACCTACTACCATGCCACACTCCCACTGTGGCCCAGGGGTCTTGTGGCCACCAATAGACCCTGATGTTCGGGGTTCCAGCAGGCTTGTTTGAGGTACATCTTGCTCTCCTGCCAACCCATCTTGCTCTCCTGCCAACCCTTTTCTCCACATTCTTTTTCCTCCTCCACCCCCAGTGAGAAAAAACGCAAACCTGCATGGACCGACCGCATCCTATGGAGGTTGAAGCGGCAGCCCCAGGCCAATCCCCACAACCAGAGGCTGCCAATCCCCCACTTCTGCCTGTCTCTGAGGAGCTATGTCAGCCACATGATGTACTGCATCAGTGACCATAAGCCTGTCACCAGCACCTTTGACTTGGAGGTGAATTTCCAGGCTGCCTGGCCCTTAACAGAGCACCCACTGGGCCACGTCCCAGACCCCCCAGCCCTGAATTCTAATGTCAGCAGATCTCCCAGGGGAGACTTGTAGGAGGACACCATTGCCACTCCTCCCAGGTCAGATATCCCAGCTCTTAGAAGCTGTTGAGGGCTCTGTCAAAAACCATGTTCGGACCCTTTGTGAATAGGTTTCCATTTCCTCTTGGTACTGTCCCTTGGGGCTAATGAGTTCCATTATGCTTATTACCTACCATGTAAAGTAGGACTTCCTTCTATTTGTCCTAAATCTACCTGGATCAGGTTGCAAAGGGAGCTCCCTCCATCCTTGCATCTTGCCATCAAATGACCAAAGCAATATTGACCTTCTTTGAGACCTGCTGGCTGCCCTCAGCCTTCACTTTTTCAAATACTGGTTTGTCTGTCCGTCTGCATGCCTATAGCTATTCTCCCCTGAGCTACCCTCCCTTCTTTGAGTCAGGAACCATAGGGGCCTTAGAGCAGCTACCTGGCTTCTTTTATCTTAAACCTGTCAGCAATGCCCCCATTCTTTCCTACCTTCCTTCACCCCTTAGCACTTGGCTCTCTGTTTTGTTACCCACTGGGCCCCCAGCCCCATCCTCCCTGGCAGGGCCAACCACCCCTGACAAGCCTTTGGCCCTTTCTCCTTCCAGCTGGCCAGCCAAGGTCTGATACTTTCTCGGGGCAGCCTGGTGGAGTTCTCTGCCCAATCCCTTGTGTGCCCCCTTTCCACCCGCTGACCCTGATGTGTTGGAAGGGCATGGCAAGAACGTTAGTCTCAGGGAAAGGAATGATACTGTGGGATTTCAACCCCTTTCCCACCCCTGTGTGTAGCTGAAGCCGTTGGTGTCTGTCCCACCGATCACCCTGATGCCCGAGGGGCTGTGGACCATGGAGAACGACATGTTGATCAGCTACTCCTTGACCCCAGACTTTCTCAGCAGCCCCTGGGACTGGATTGGACTATACAAGGTGATGTGGCGAGCAAGACATGGTGTCCATCAGCCGTACCCCTTTGGTTTATCCATCCTGAGGGCTCATGGGAGCTGGGTACAGAGACTGAAGAGCTGATGCTCATCCCCCACACAAGTCCTTGCCCACCTAGGGGCTGGCAGTGAAGGGGAGGATGCATACTGTACAATGGCCAGCCTGAGGCATCCTTTCCTTGTTGTTCCGTGTCCTCCCAGACCACTGACTGCCCAATCCCCTCTCCCACAGGTGGGGCTGCGCCACATTAATGACTACGTGTCCTATGTCTGGGTCAGGGACAACCAGGTCTCCTTCAGCGATGGGCTGATCCAGGTACCTGCCCCCTTTCCTGAGATAGGTAACCCCTGTCTCCAGCATGTGGGCTTGCCTGAGCACTGTTCTGTCTCTTGGAAGGAACAGAGGGTGGGATAATTTGTTGCTGAGAGCTGAATGGGGCCCAGGCCAGGGAGCTGACCTCATTCTTATCCATCCTCTCCTCCAGGTATACTTCAATACCAGGGATATCCCTGAGACTGAGGACCAGTTTCTCCTCTGTTACTATAGCAACAATCTACATTCTGTGGTGGGGATAAGCAAACCCTTCAAGGTATGCTGGTGAGGGAAGGGGATTTGAACACCTCATCAGTTCTCCAGGGCCACAGTCCTAGGGACCCACTTATACCATGGAGCTGCATCCATTGGAAAAGGGGAATGAGAGAGACACAGAGGAAAATCTGCTCTTCCCCTCTTCTACTCACCATCTGTTTTATCCCTGCAGATCCAGCCTAGCTCCTTCTTGGCGGAGGACCCGCTGAGTGAAGCCCAACCACATATCTGAGCCCAGATGAGAGTGGATCCAGGGCAGAGGCCAAAGCTAGGAGCCAGCTCTGCCTACCACTGCCAGGAGCACTGGGGGCCTGACCCAGCTCCCAGAGGCAGCAGGTACCCTCCACCTCCCAGGGGGAGCTCTAGCTACACGCCTTTGCTCTCTCTAGTCCAGATCTCTAGAATTGGCCACTCAGGCTTTTCTTGCTGAGATGTGAATGAAACCAGCTAGTTTGTCAACAGTGAAGACCTGGGACAGTCCACTGGATGTAGGAAGGACCCCTCCAGTCTATAGCTCGTTTCTTGATTTTCCCCACACACACTCCCAGTCCCGCCCAAGCAGACCTGCCAGGCACATGCCCTATCTGGCACAGGCCTGCATTCTTGTCACGCCATCCCGAGCCTCAGGCTGCCTGGAAGGGGGAGATGCTCACATTTGCACAGGCTCCATTGACTGGTTGGCACAAGCAACCCTGGGTTCCAGGAGTCTTGCCATCTCATTGCCTGTCCCCCTGAGGGATGGGCGGAGGGTTTGGGATCCCTGCTTTTAGCAAAAGCAATTAGACTAAGTGGGCAGGATGGAAAGGCCCTTCCACCCAGGCTCTTTTGTAGGGGTTGTGGGCAGGATGATGAGTGTCCTGCCAGCACCCCTGCCCCCGTGGAGTCTGATCCAGGAAATTCCAGGGCCTGAGCAAAGGATTGGACCCAAGTTCATTTCTGCTGGTGGGTCAGGCCCCATGCCCTAACCTGCCCTCTTGTGAAGTGTTGGCAGCTGTGGCCACAGACTTTTCCAGGGTTTTTCTTGCCCAATCGAGCTCATCTGCTCCTACCCTTGCCTCCAGTCACTGGCCAGAAACCTGCCTCTCTTTGGACTGCCCTAACACCTAGAAGTGGAGGCAGGCAGAGAAGAGAGCCAGAATCTAGATATTTTGGGGAATCTACCCTTGAGGGTCTTCAGAGAGCATTCTCTACGTGCTGTGTGGGCACTCAGTCCCACCCTCACCACTTGCCTCCAGCCACTGGTGATTCAACAGCCCTCCTCCCAGGAGAAGACACCTCAGGGAACCTGCTCTATGACTGTCACGCCTATCCTCTATCACCTGAGACTGAGGGACATTCCAGTCACTCTGTGATCCATACTCCACCCTGGGAGCTGTGTGTACCATGAAGAACTGTTCCCCTGGCTTCTAATGGCCCATGGCTGTGTTCTGTGTCTGTTGTATTGGGGGATAATTAGAAACATGGCTTTTATGCTTGTGTGTGGTTCCATGATGGGGGGTGATGGTGGTGGTGGTAGTGTGTGACTCCATGGCACATGGTGATGGACCCTTGCTAGACTCTAAGGTGAGGGCCTTGTAGATCTAGACTAGACTTTCTAGTGTCTGAGAGTGGCACATGTTGCCTGGATGGGAATGGGATGAGGTCCCAGGATGGCAGCCCTCTGGGTCGCTGGCACAGTTGGGGCAAGCCAGCTATGCCACCTGTTAAGCATTTAGGTTAGCTTGCTGTGAAGTAGAATGGGTTTCTGGGAACTGACAACTCTCAGAAAAGGTGCTCTGCATTCACTGGTTCATGCCTCCTCACCCACATTCCTGCACCTTAGTATTGAGCCTTGGTCCCAGGTCGAGCTAGCCAAAAACGTCACCATCTTTTTTCTGTGTGCTACCTTTTCTCCAAGCCTCCCACCCCAAGGTCTCCATGTAATTGCCACCCCTGCCCCAACACACTCACACCTGAGGATCCCTGATCACCCGCACTCACCCACTTCTCACCTGCACAAGCATCATGGGCACTGCCACACCGCACCTGTCATTTGGCAGACAGGGAAGCCAAAGCTCAGAAGAGAGGCATGATCCAAAGTTACACAGGCAGCTGTGATCTCATGCGGGGCCAGAAACCCAGGAACGAGGTCAAGACCTGGATCGGAATCTGAATTACACCTCTACCCACACAGGAGTATTGGTTGTCTGTAAAATGCAAATAATTGGGAACCCTGGGTGGTCAGCGGTTGAGCACCTGCCTTTGGCCCAGGGCGTGATCCTGGAGACCTGGGATCGAGTCCCACATCAGGCTCCCTGCATGGAGTCTGCTTCTTCCTCTGCCTGTGTCTCTACCTCTCTCTCTGCGTCTCTCCTGAATAAATGGATATAATCTTAAAAAAACAAACAACAACAACAACAAAAAAAAAAAACGAATAATGTATGCATTGACAGGGTCACTGGGAGAGAAGAGGTGGAAAAACAGCTGAAGCAACAGCATAACTGTCTCCTTATTCTGATTCATGTAGCCCTGGGGCTGGATCGCAGGTGTTTCCCCCCCCCACCTGCTTGTGGAGCTTGCTTGTCCTTGTGCCCACCTCTCCCCTTCCCCCCTAAGTCTTCACACATCCCTACCCCTGCCTCCTGTTGGGGGCCCCTCCTGGTGTGGGAGGGCGGGGCTGCAGTGATTGAGAGGCCGGGAAGGGGAAGGGGGAGGGTTCTGCCTCCTGGCCCCAGTCAGGATATGGCCCCTCTGGGCTCAGCCCTGACCCGCTGGGTGGAAACAGGAAATGTATGAGACTTGTGCACTGGGTCTCTGTGCCTGGCTCCAGAGCTGATAAGGGCCATTGTGTGGCCACTGGGGATGAGCCTGCCCTAGATAGATGTGCTTCTCAGAGGAAGGAAGGAAGTTTTGCTGGCCTTTCCTGGGCGGGGGATGCAGTGGGGAGGGAAGGGAAGGGTGCCCCAGGGGAAGGTGCCTGTCCAGGGGGCTGTCAGGGCCAGCACCAGCCCCCTGGGTTCTGCCCCTCCTGTGCCAGTGTCTCCCTCTGGAAAGGTCACTTTTCTTCCCATCCTCTTCCCCTTACTTCCTGTAAGGAATGGCTGAAGACCTGAGGACTCAGTCCCAAGCCAGGAAAATGTCAGCTGTGATTTAGCAACAACAAGACTGGAAAACAGGAACACTGGGGGTGAGGAGGACATGAGGGTACTCTGGAAAAGTCAGAAGCTGACAGGGCTAAGGCTCCAGAGCCAAGGGATCCAGTCTTCCCAAGCGCTAATGGCTCCGGAAGAATGCCGCACAGGGGCCTCCTCACAGTGCTCTCCTGCCTCTCCAGCTGAACTCTGCTCGGCATGGCCAGCCCCCAGCAGCTCTGGCCTCTCAAACTCTGGGGGCTCACCCACTGCTGAGGGGAGCTAGGCTAGCTGGGGAGATGTAACGGAGGGGCTGGTGCCTGTTGATGCATCTTGGCTTCGGGAAGGATGTGCTTTCTGGTTTGGGGAACACTGCTCTTCAGCTGATACTAGTGAGTGGGCAGCAGAAGAAGCCTGGCCATGGAGCTGCTGGGGGGAAAGACCTCCTACCCTTTGACCCAGAGGCCAGGGTTCCCCATGCGTGGCTGCATCAGCTCCTCTGGTTACCTGGGACAACAGGCATTTCCTCAGTCCCGCAGCCCCTCCTCTTCCTGCCCCAACCCACTGGGCCAAGAAGCCTTCCAATCAGACCTGGGCTGTTCCAGCTGTGTCCTGAAGAGCTGGACCAGACACATCCCCTGGGGCTGGAGTTGAAGCTGAACCAAGTGGCCATCCCAGTGTGAGACCAGATTCCTGGCTCTGGGAGCAGCCAGAGCCAGTGGGCAGGCAGACTGTTGCTCAGCGGCCCCATTGCTCAGCAAGCACACTGGCTCTCCATCGGCGGAATGGCGCTGCAAGTGGAGCTGATACCCACTGGGGAGATCATCCGCGTGGTTCATCCCCACAGGCCCTGCAAGCTTGTAAGCTGGGATGCTCTAGGATGGGAGAGAGGGTGGCAATATCTTCCAGGGCCCAGCAGCTCCCTCAAGCAAACCCTTCAGGAAAGAGGTGAGCAGTGGGGAGGGGTTCTGATCCTTGGTGGGACAGGAACAGACTGGACAAGAAGGGGTAAATGGAAAGAAGGGGTAAGAGTTTAAGCGTCTCTAGGAGCAGGATTTTTCCAAGCAGGGATCTAGGTTTGAATCCCTTCCCTTCCAGCTCCTTCATCCTCAGTAGGCTGAGCTATGAACTGGGCATAACTGCTGAGGCCAAAAAGACTGATGGTGTATATAAAGCTCCATTCCCGAAGCACTTGTTGAGTTAATGCCTCCCCCTTTTTCTGACCCAAAGAACTAGGACTGGCCAGCTCAGAGCAGTAGCTTGAGCAGAGAAGGAAGATGAAGGGAGACAGTCACGAATCGGGAAGAACGGACTTGGCCTGGCAAAAGGGCGAGCTGGGGGGGTGAGGTTGGGTCTGTTCTGAGGATGCAAAGGAGCCCTAGGATGAGATGCCCCCTTCCACCCAGCACTGCAGCGAGTGGGCCAGGTGTGGAGGAGGGAGGTGTGCGCGCGTGTCTCTGCGTATGCGTGACTGTGACGCGCCGCGTCCGGGGAGCTGGTTGCAGTGTGCGGCACCAAGTCTCCGCGGACTAGGGCGGGGACCGGGGCCAGGGCTGGCCCGGCCGGGGCGGGGCCGGAGGGTTCGCGCGCGCGCGCGCGCCCGGGCCTGGGCCCCGCCGGGGATGACGACAGGCAGCGGCCCGGCCCCGGGCGGGCCCTGGGCGGGGAGAGCGTGCCGGGGCCGCGGACTCCGGAGCCGGCCAAGCCGCCCAGCCTGGCCCCCGCCTGCGCGCCCGAAGAGCCGAACTGGTGGGTACGCGAGGCACGGGCAAGGGGCGGGCAGCACCGCGTGGTCCCGGGAGGGCTCTGCTGGCGGGCGGTAAGTGGGAGAGGTCGGGCGGCGGGGCGCCAAGCCAGGCCCGGAGCTGCGGGGCGGGAGGCGAGGGTCGCCGGTCCGGAGATCGCTAGGGCAGAGGGTCGGCCCGGGCTGGCTTGTGCGGGGTCGCAGAACTCGGCCTCGTGGGGACTTAGGTCACTGGCGGGAAACGTGAGGGCGAGGAGGTTGGGGTCGCAGGACCCAGGCGCCCCGTGAGCCCTTTTGGGCCCCTCCAACAGGCCGGGCTCTGCTTCTGGGTTTCAGAGAGACCGCCCGCGCCCCGCCCCTTCCCCTTCTCCCTCTCGCCCGCCCCCCCGCGCCCCTGCAGGGCCAGTTCCCCGCGCGCCCGGGAGCCTGTGAGCGCGGCGGCCAGGGTCTCCGAGATGAATGAGAGAATGAATGGTTGGCCCACGGCCCTGTTCCACTCCCGGCACGCTCTGGTCTCTGTGATTCATTCATTCGTACCGGCATCCATGAGGGGTTACTGAACCCCTACTGTATGCTGAGCTGGGTGTACGCTGCAGGAGCAGTCTCCTGGGAGAGACTGACAAGGAAACCGGCGATTAGAGCGGGATGCGATAAGGAGGAGGCTCTGCGTTGGGGGAGGCAGGAAGGGGTTCTGGAGGAGGTGATACCTGAGCTGAATCTTCAAGGATGACTAAGAGTCAAGTGGGGAGGAGAGTGTGTCGGACCAAGGAAGGTGCAGGTGCAAAGGCAAGAAGCATAAGGAGAGAGCCACGCGTGACAGGGGCAGGAGCAGTTCCTTCTGGTTGTGTGTGGTGTTGAGGGGAGCTTGGGGAGAAAAGGCACTGGAGAGGGTCACCCCTGTGGTTACACAGCAGCACAGGCGCACTGGGGTAAACGGAGGACAGAAGGGGCTGCTGGAGTCTATATGCAGGGACCTGGCAAGAAGCATTAGGTGCAGAGAATGGGCTTGGCACACCGAACATGCCCTATAAACTTTCACTCTATTAACATAAGATATTTATTGATCAGATATGCATTTGTAAATATTACAGGCTGTCGTGGAAGAAATGGATTAAAGGGAGAAAGACAGGGAGGGCAGTTTGGAAGTTGCTGCCTGATCCAGGAGAAGAGTGAAGGGGGAGCAAAGGGAAGGTTTTAGCAGGTGGTGACTCTTTGGTGTGAGAAATGGAGAGAGGGGAACAGGCCTTTTGATGCCAGACAGTGATGACTCTCTGGAGGTGACCCCTCCTTTCTACAGATAGGATATTGAACAAGGAGGAGAGGTCAGGGGACAAAGTGCTCTATTTACTTCTGCTGGACTCCCAGACAGAGGTGTCTGGCACGCCAAAGGCTTGTGGTTCTAGAGGTAGAGTGTGCAGCCCTTGACTGAGGCCCTGTGAACAATTAGGTAGAGTCCTTTAGTCTCTACCTTTCATCTCCGCTGCCCCTCACAACAGTTCCCAAGAGTCTGGAATAGTCCTTGGTGAGGCAGCCAGGGCCCAGACCTATGGTGGATAAATATAAACCGGGCACCTGTTCTGTGCCCAGGACTACACTGGGGGTGAGATTGGCTGTGG